ATCTCTGAATGTTAATGAGTAACCTTAGAATATCTTTATCGAAAAAATATTTAGCCTTTATGATGTGCATCCAGATGCTATTTGCTTCTTTAATTTGTCTCAACTAAGTTTCATAAGGAAAGCTCCATAACAAGTTATCATCCTATGTATCCCAAGCCCATTCAACTTCTTTGCTTGTCATATATGATCCTATTTAATGAATGAATTTTGAGATGGCAATATCTAAACCCCTAGATAAAGTCCGTGTTGAACTTATTTAGGCAATAGTTACTAATAATAGGAATAAAACCATTTATTTAGTCTAATATTGTATAGATTCCTTTCAAGCCAAATATTTGGTAGACAAAGCATCTTTAGTTTACTTCTCATCAATTGTCGAAATTTCCTAAAATAATAATTGCATTTTGTGTTATGCCTATGTTGCTCTTCTTTGCTCTATTTCTTAATTGCAGCCTTCATCACCTTTAACTTTTACACTACCCTGAAACTAGCTTTGTTGTTCACCTTATTATCCCTCTATAATTCTTTAACATTTCACAAAATTCATGCATTCTTAGCCATTTGTCCTCAAATATGAATGGATAAGGGCCCCAGTTGATCCCAACTAATTTGAGGCATAGAGGAACATGACCCAATATGACCTTTTACAACAGCTTTTGACACATACATGAGGCTTGAAGCTAATATGAGGTTAACACTAGGAATATGTCAATATGATCCGTGTTAGTTTTTTAATTAAACTAGGTCCACCTACCTCCTGTGAGAGGCAAATCCACAAGATCCAATATATCAAGATCTCCTTAAATCTTTCTGTTTAACTCTTTGAAAATTGGTCCCCTATCCTTTCATGTCTACCCAATACCATATTGAAATTCTTTCTTATTATCTAAGGTAAGTACCATTTTTACTTATGGCCTTCCAAGTCCTTCTACAGTAAAGCTCTCTCTCACCATTCATCTTTATTATAAATATCTATAAACACCCATTTCCCCCCACTACTTTGATCCTCAAAAAGACATGAAATAAAACATTCTCCCCTTATGTACTCTTTACACTTGGTTATGTCATATTTCCATAGTACTGACATTCCATCTGATGCTCCTCTAACATGTAAGTGCTTTCAAACAACATTTTTTATCTCTATAACTTTTGAATGATTATGTCATGGGTAATCTCCATTTTAGATTTTTATAAGAAAATTGCGTCTAGTTTCCATCTACTCATGTATTCTCTAATCACTTGTCACTTATCATGATTATTAAGATCCCTAGTATTTCATGAGATGATTTATTGGGTCTGGAGCATGAATATGATTAATTGTGTAAATTAAGGTAATTCTCAAATTAATTCGTAGGAACCAATAATAATACAAGCTAAATTAATGCATAATCAAACAAAATAATGCAAAAATAATAACTGCAATATAAAATATACACAAAATTTTACATGAAAAACCTTTCATGAAAAAAAAAAATCAGGTGTCAAACTCCAAATCAAATTTACTATTAACGAAAATAAGGACAAGGTAATCTGTTGAGAATTAAATCCAAAAGAAAAAGAAACAAAATCTTTTCTTCTGCAGAACTTGAGAAAATAGGTAACCAAAACAAAATTAAATTTTACTTTCATGAGAAAAAGACAAAATTGATGATACCACTAATGATGTTATTGATGAGAGAGAAAGGTGACACACCATTAATGATGTTATTAATGAGAGAGAAAGGTGACCACTCCTTCCTTTTTTTACTTGGTCGTCACTTAACTTATATATATATATGTTATATACATATATAAAGTCCTTCCATTTTCTATTATTCTTCCTTTTCACATCCTTATTTCTTCTCTCTCTTTTATGACCTCTTGCACAAAATCTCTTTCTTTCTTGTTTTTAACTTGTTTCACACAACTTTTTCTTCCTCTCGCCTTGCATATTCCCTATTACAAGCTCCTCCTTTTATAGGCTAAGGGAGCCTGTTAAGATCCTTTTTTTCTGTCGTGAAATCTCCAGTTTTTGTCAAAGATTGGAGATTCAAAAATTTGATGCTGATTTTTCTCCATCTTGTTACAAAGAATCTACTTTACTCATAAAAAAATTTTTCATCACTAATATTTCATGGAGATGTCCACACACTATTTCTCAAAATTTAGTCAGTCTCATCATCTTAATGCATGATTGATGCTTGTCATCAGTCATCATATTGATCAACATGTCAACCGGATTAGTGTGAATCTTTTTCAAAGAGCTCATATCCTCATCCATTGTGTTCATCAACTGAGTTTTTTTTTTGTTATCATGTACTTCTTGGAAGCTCTCTAGTTCTCATTCTTTAATAATTATTAGATAATCAAAATTGAGATATTTGGTAGATGAATGATATATTATGATTGACTTTTTAACTTGAGGTTCTTCTATAATCTGAGGTGGAGGGGGCTACTGCTCTTGCTCAAATCATCATTTACATCTAGAGACATTATTACTTTCATCTCCTTCATCAGTTACATTTCTGATTGAAGGAGACATATTATCATTTTCATCGCCTTTATTAGTTAAATTTTTTGTTGAAGAAGAAATCGGTGTAAGAAGAGGAATGCCTTCACTTCTTATACCTTCTATAATGTCTTAAAGTCTTAAAGGATCTTGTGTTAATCAAAGATCACATCTATGGACCTGATGACTTTTTTCTTTACTAGATCCTATAACTTGTACCAAAACTCTACTATATCTCCATAGCCTAGAAGAATGTATAGAATAGTCTTGTCATCTAGTTTTTGTCTCTGCTCCTTAGGAATATGCACAAATATCTTGTACCCAAGTACTTTCAAGTGAGAGTAGATAACATCCTTTCTAGACCATATTCTCTTCGAAATATCAAAATCCAGAGCAGTTGATCGAGAGTAATTCATTAGGAGGCAGGTGGTGTGAAGTGCTTCATCCCGAATTGACTTTGGTAAATTAGCCATTTTTTAATAAACATATTACCTTCTTTAGGATGGTTATATTTTTTCTTTCAGTAACAAACGTCTTTTCATGTCTAATTCTACGTTATAAATAATAATTCTCAAACTTATTTAAAGTGTATTTGTTGCCATTGTCACTACGAATACACTTTAAAGATTTTTTTTCTCTTTCTACCATAGCATAGAACTACTTGAAGCACTGTAGAACCTGATTTTTTTTTTCAAAACAAACACTTAAACCTTTTGTGAAACATTATTAATAAAAGTAATAAAATATCTATTACTACCTAATGTTTTTACATTAATTGAACCACATACATCAAAGTAGACTAACTCAAGTACATTTTTTTTTTTAGAAGAATTATTAAAAGAAATTATGAGTTGTTTACCATAATAAAAAATCATCACAAGAGATTAAACTCATATATTTAGTAAAAGGAATGGGAGAGTTTTTTAACCAAAATCTGCAACCTTTTCTCATTCATATAAACCAACCTCATGTGTCACAAGTCTTGTAGAACATCATCTTTTCTTGTATTTAAAGTACCTTTAATTATCTTCACTTGAGTTTTGTAGAGTGTGTGACACAATCTATCCTTAGCAACCACAATTTAACTTTACTAAGTTTTCATTTTCTAGATCCATGCATGAGTAGAAATCAGATTCAGGTGCAAGTTGAACATATATCATACATTTTTCAAAATCAATATGTAACTAATATTTGTTTAGACACAAACATCACCTATGCCCATTATATCTGCATAGTTGGAGTTATTCATTTTCAGTTTGCCAAAATTTTCTACTTTATACACATTAAAGACATCCATTCTAAGTGTAACATGATAGGATGTTGGTGAATCAACAAATCACTCTGTATCAAGATACTGATATGGTCATGATCCTCAACAAAAAAAGTACAACCAACTCTTCATCATCAACTATAGTTATCGTGCTATTATGATCATTTGTCTCTTTTTTATTTTTCTCATTGTTGTGTTTCTTTTTCCAAACTTTATAATTTTCTTTCATATATTATTTCTTACCCCTATAATAACAAGTGAATATTCCTTTATTTCATCCTTTAGGATTTTTATTTTTACTTCTACCTCTGCTTTTTATGGTAGGGATATGTTATGTATTAATGTTCATATCTTTTTTAATGGTTTCCTCATTATAGAGACTATCATTTACTAAAGATAAAAATAAGATACCGTTTGGAACAGAGTTAGTAAGGGACACTACCAAGGTCTTCCAACTATTTGACAACAAACTTAAGAGTAATAATGCATGTATTTCATCATCTAAAGTTATTTTCATAATATTCAATTGATTAACTAGATATTGAATCTCAGTTAAGTGTTTTCCTATTGACGGCTCATCTTGCAACTTTAGGTTTATTAGATTTTTGATAACAAAAATTTTATCTTGATCACCTTTAAATATTCTTCAATTTCTTATACAAGTCTTGTGCATTAACTTATTTACTTATATGATAGTAGGTATTAATGTCTATCCACTGCTAGATAGTTTGAACAGTTTTTCTGTGCATTTTCTCCTAATTTTTTCTGAGTTCCCAACTGGTTTAATAATTCCTAATTTAAAAGGATCATATAAATAGATCTTTGCAAGCAAGAAGATCCTCCATATTCGGCTTCTAAACTAAATAATTTGAAGCTGTCAATTTAATCATGATACCTGCGAATTCCTCCATCCTAATTTGCACAGTTAATTCCATATCACAAATCAACCAAACTTTGATACTATTTGTTGGATACTGAACAGAGAATATGACTAATTGTGTAAATTAAAATGATCCCTATTTTATTTCGAGAAATCAATAGTAATATCAAACCAAATTAATGCATAATCAAGCAAAATAATAAATAGATAATAACTGTAATATAAAATGGATATAAGATTTTATGTGAAAAATCCTTTAGTGGAAAGAAAAAAATCACAAGTTAAACTCCAAATCAAATTTACTATTAACGAAAACAAGTACAAGGTAATCCATCGAGAATTAAATGCACAACAAAATAAACAAAACATTTTCCTATGCAGAACTTGAGGAGAGGTAATCAAAGCAAAAATTAAAATTTACTTTCATGAGGAAAAAAAAACAAAATTGATTAAGTCATTAATGAGAGACAAAGTTAACTGCTCACTCTTTTTTCATTTGGCTATCACTGAACGTTTATATATATATATATATATATATATATATAAATACATATAAAGCCCTTCCCTTTTCTCTTCCTATTTTCTTCTCCCTTTCGACCTCTTACGTAAACTCTCTTTTCTAACAACATATATATATGTATAACACTTCCCTTTTCTCTTCTTTCTTTTTTCTCTCTCTCTCTCTCTCTCTCTCTTATGACTTCCCTCATAAACTCTCTTTCTTTTATGCTTTTAGCTTGCTTCACACAACTTTTTCTTCCTCTCGACTTGCATTTTCCCTATTCCAAGCCCTTTCTTTTATAGGCAAAGAGAGCCTGTTAAGATCCATTTTTTCGGTCGCAAAATTTGTAATTTGGGTCAAAGATTGGAGATTCAAAAATCTAGAGCTGATTTTTCTCCATCCTATTACAAAGAATCTGCCTTATTCATCACAAAATGTTTTGTCACTGATATTCATTTGATGATGGCTTGGAATTAACATAATTTTACAAAACATGGATTAAGTGTTGGCAATAACTCCCCTCCATTTTACTTCCCCTAAAAGTAAAAGTAAAAATGAAAATAAGTTTATGGATTAAGTGTTAGTCACATGTTTGTTTTGAACTTCATCTCATCCTATAAAGATTCGTTTAGTAAAGTTTTTTTTTTTTTTTTTTTTCCAATTCAATATCTTTCCTCAATGTTACATTACCATTATTTTGGCTCTTGTAACTTCTTAACATTAATTCTTTAAACCCCCTTTTTTTATGCATTCGTATCATTTAGCCCCCACGTTGCCTTTCAACAAGTGCTTCATATTTGACCACTAACTTTTTTCTTAATTTTTGTTTCCTTAAGAGCTAGTTGGATAAATGCTTAAAAATTCTTAAACTGTAGATATAACAAACTTGCTATTCCTCGAGTTGTAATATTTCTCAGAATATTTTATTTGGCCAGTTTGATCCATTCCCTCTTGATAATTTTTTATGTCTTCTCAATGTTGTGAATCTCAAGTACCTTTACAGACTGTATTAAGTTCAAAATTATAGAGTTTGTCTACAAATGGTATTTTTATAAACTTTGAAATTGACTTAGCCCTAAAATAGGTAGTATACTCCCATCATATTTACTAAAGGTACACAGTAGTATGAATTACACTTCAACAAAACCTCTAGCTTTTTTTAGTCATAATATACAATTTTCTTCCATAACTTTCTCTCGTTTATAAAGTTTTCATATTAATTAAATTAATCTTCCCCTCAAGTTTTTATTTCTTTAAAGATATCACAATGCTTTAATCTGCAAACTTAACCAAAGATGGAATAATGGACCACAATATCTAAAACTCCTTGTTGCCATTCCTTCTTATGAAGTGGAAATTTCTAATGGTCTCTGTACAAGCACTTTATATAACCTACCTTTCCTATTAATAAGAACACACATATCTTTAAATCCATTTATTGATGAAACCTTAATTAATTGTAAGGAAACACTAACAAGCAAGCAACACAAAAAAAAAAAAAAAAACCACAATGCTTTTGCTTAATTAAACTTTTATGTACTTTTTGTTGTGAACTTTAAGATTCATAGAACTGAATCATGCCTACTAGCCTTTTGTATGCTATTACGAGGAATTGCTAACAATTTTACCGAAATTCTTTTTTTTTTTTTTTTTTACTATAAAAATATTGAGGAGGATATACTAGTAAAGAATATTATTTTGGAGATATATTTGTTATAAAAAAAAGTCAAAAGAACTGATTTTTTTTTTTCTCCAAACAAGTCATGAGCCTAATATGAAATTTTCATTCAAAGTTTAACAATATTAGACTTGTCAAACAATTTTAAAAGTTCAAAAGCTAATTTGTAACTAAAAAGATCTTTAAAACTAAATTATAATATTGGTTATTATTCAAAGACTAAATTGAATATTTATCATATTTTTTGAATCATTTAACTAAAATTTCATCTTAAAATTCTCAATTACTGAATGTTTTAAAGTTTTTTAAGTGTAACTGGAAAAATGAGTCAAATATCCTAAATACTTTTCTAACTTATTACTTCAATGAATTTAAACTCCCTTCCCACTAATTACTTCGAGGAAAAGGAGCTGATGAATTTAAGCAGTCCAAAGACTCCCTCCTAGCATTTGGTTGTTGGGTTGCCACAACCCGAAAAACCGAGACCCGACCCAGATGGTTTATGGATTGGCTAAGCCTACTAATATTTCTTTCTTAAAGGCCACTGAAACTAATGATAATCGTTATTCTGCAAAACGCAAGCCTTACAAATATTCAAAGGAAAAAAAAAGAACAATAGAAACGGACGGAAGGAGAAGAAGAAACAGTTGCTGAGTTAATAACCATGGCAACGCGCTTGTTAGCCACAGCCTTGGGCACTCCTTCGAGCTATAGCCCTGATAGACGGCGAACCAGAGTGTCGACACCTTCGAACCAATGGCTGTCGTGTTATGACCGGAAAACATTTAAGGATAGGGTTAAAAATGGAACTATAAGGTGCGAGGTTGTGGATGAAGGAAGCTCTACCTCTAATGTTTCCGTCGATCAAACCGTCTATCAAGGAGCATATGGCTCCTGGACTGTTGAGGACTCGGACGTCAGAGAAGTAAGCTTCTTAATTTTTCTTCCATTTCCTTATGAATTTACTCTTTATTGACTGGAACTTTCCTTTTTGATTCTGGAGAGTTGGTTTCTACTTTTCCTGAGTTGGTTGTTAAGATGTGGAGCAGTGACTTGAAGGTTCCAAATATTGTTGGACATGATATTGTCTTCATAATACTGTAGTTAGTCTTCAAATGAGACACAATTCTGGACAAACTTGAACTCAGTTTTCTTATTCTCAGTGGAGAGTATATATGCAAGCATGGTTAAACAAGCGTAGCTTTTCAGAAAGAAGTTGTTAAATCAGTGTTAATGACGGCAAACCCAGAACTAACATCGTGATAAAAAAATCCTGCATATACATTAGTATGTAGAAAACTTAAATTTCTAATTAAATCCTCTCATCCATATTTAACCTGTGAATATCGAACAAGGTAACTGGGAATAAAAATAGAAATAAAAAAGACATTATACCTTACTTGATAAGTCGATTTAATTTCCTACCTCAACAAGACGGTTGAAGCAATCTTACTTGAAGAACTCTCACTCTCACAATTAAGCAAAAACTAAATATAAAGGATAAACTGAAATTTTGTTAACATTTTGAATTGAATTAATTTTACAGCATAAAGTGAGGTCTTTATATAGGATTTCACCAGATTTATTCTAAACAAATCAAACTCTATAACTTGTCTCAAACTCTTAGATTATCCTAGTCTTTGCTCAACTTATCTTAATCTCAAACCTAAAATAATTATTAAAAAAAATAAAGTATTAATTGGATAACTCCTTCCTCTCTCTTGACCGATCATAGACTTGTCCTTCATCATCTTGGCTTGATCTTCCTTGTATGTAATTAATCGAATTGAAGAAGCATGAAATATGAGTAGAGCTTTGTGAAATGAAATTTCGGCTAGGAAGAATTTCTTCTTGGTCGAGACTCCTTGAAGATTAGTTTTCACACTTATCTTCTCTTGAATTCTCATCTTTTGATTCATGAAAAACTCCTTTTTGACGATGACTCCACCTAAAAGAAAAAAGAAAAAAACATGAAACATATGAGGAAAAAGCAAGAGAAACTCCTCTTGGGTAGGAGTCCTTGTGCGGGTGGACCTCTCTCGCGTGGGCGGGAGTCCTCAAGCTGTGGGTTTGTTTTTCCGTGGACTCCTCCTTGTTGAGGATCCTTTCTCTTTTCGTTTTTGGACTCTTCTTCTTTATCTTCTTCAAGCTGTATCTTCAAGCCTTTCAGGACTCTTTAATCATACAAAAGAGGAGGAGGGATGGTGAGGACTCTTCCTCACTTTCGGGAGGATCCCGCATGTGCAGGCTTCCCTCATCGTGCATGTGCTTGCCCGCACATGTACGCAAGGGGCTTCACATGCGCGGCTTCTCTTGGCCGCTGGCCTCCTTGGCCGAATGGCCTTGCCTTGGTCTTCTCTTGGGCCTTCAATGGCCGGACCTCCCTTAGATTTTCCTTAGACTCATGGGTTGGGCCTTTTAATTGAATCTTGGACCGGCCCCTTGGAGTTAAGACCAGTATCTCTTGAATTTTGTCATTTCCTTCGTCGAAATGGATTCCTTGAGACAATAGGAAACTTGGAAGGTTTGAAAACAGTTTCCCTTTTGGCCTTGGATTTGCGGAAAGCTTTGTAAACACCATCAACCCAGCAGGTAAAATCCTCCTCCAGCGAGCGTTTCTTGGGCGTAGTGCTGCGTGCGTGATTCCTGCTTTTTGCAAGACTCTGTCTTCAGGACTAATTTAGTCATTTCTGGGATCACATCAGTTAATCTCAGTAAAAAACTCTCTAGGTCTCTTGCCAGTGTATAGCTTAAACATAATTCTGAGACCGACAGTTATTCAGTGATTTTTAAGTAACCACCTGTATTCGGAAATTGGAAATGAGAAAAGGAGAAAAATATACCCCCGAATTTCTCATACTATGGAAAAGGGTTACTTGAAAATGTGTGACCTACTTTTTCTTTACTGATTCTTGTGTCCTTTATAGGTACCAAATACATCAAAAATAGAAAATTTGAAAAACCTAGTAAATAGGAAAATAAATTAAGCAGAAAGAGTAGTGATATAGGAAATGTAGAAAATAGAAAAGTAAATCTTCCTATTTTCCTTTATTGTAAAACTTTCCACAACTTAGAAAAGAAAATTAGATCTTTCTGTTTTTTTTAATTAACTTCCCTAAATGTTTTTGTTCCTTGATTGGTTCTGCCTCATATTTCCTACTATTGAAATATAGCCACTTTAAGAGCTTCCTCATTGCTCTTGCAAAAGTGACTAAACTTGCCCTCTAAAGGGCATACAAGATCATTTTACAAAGATAACTATGAAATAGATTGAGCTTACATGCAACAAACTTTACATGATCAATTCCATGATCAAGTAGCAGGCACTGCTTAGCCATTATTTATTGCATTAAAATTAAAGTGATCAGTCTTCCATGCCAAGTATCAAAAGACTCTAGGGTATAAGCAAAACTAATATTACTATATTAAATTTGAATATTCTGGATTCAACATAGTCCTTCTCTATAATGCCTCCATTAGTAGTACTGAGCAATATCCTGAGACTAGATTGTTTTTAATATGAAGGTCGTATAGAACTTCTCTTAAAACAACAGATAGCCCAAAATAAAGTTGAGTTTATTTATAGCTTTTCCAATGACTTTAGAAGATGAATTACCCACAATGATCCTTGCATATACTAAAACAGTATCTGGACATTAATGGAGTACATCATATATCATAAGCAACGCTCACTGCACCCTGTAAAAAGTCAAGTTTTATAAGAACATCGATCCCCCATCCATGTGGCTTCTCTTGGTGCATCAAAAGGCAATTGCACAAATTGCTTGTTTTTCTTTATATGTATGTCAAAGATTATAAATTACTTTTGTTGCTCTCTTAATTTTCAGCTATTCTGTAATCTGGATATGGTTGTCTTCATCTCATCTGTGGCCTTTTCAAGCAACCAGGCGCATTGCTCATGTCTAAATTATATTTCAAAGTTCATTAAAAGTTTACTTGAGGTCTAGTGGTGGAGCATATTGCTTACTTCACTTGTTGGGACAGGTTATTTTATATAGGTCAGGGTTAGTAACTGCTGCTGTGTCGTTTGTAATTGCTTCATCTGCTGCTTTTTTACCTGAAACCTCTTCTTTGAGAGAAATAATTTTTCAAAAGCATGATTTGCTTTACCTGCTTGGAGCTGGGGGTCTAGGCCTGTCACTGTTTCTGATTCACATCTATGTAACTGAGATTAAGCGGACACTTCAAGCATTATGGGCGCTTGGTATTCTTGGTTCTTTGACAGCATACTCAATCCTCGCGCAACCAGCTGGTGAGAACTTAGTACAACATGTTGTGGACAATCCAACAGCTGTCTGGTTTGTTGGTCCTCTCTTTGCAGCACTTACTGGACTCGTCTTCAAAGAAGGTAATAGCACTGCTATGTTCTGTTTTTATTTGTGAGTTCATCAATTATGGTTTCATTACTTTGTTAGAGAATGGCCCCAGACCCCCTCCTTATTTCTTTATTCATTTATGAGGTGAGTGATGTGCATCATTAAACTTGTTTTTAATTCAGAGTCACCTTTTTTCTTCCTTTTGTAATGGAGGGTTGGAAGAAACTTAGTATTAAGTAATGAAAAGCCTATTAGCATGCTATGTCACCTTGTAAAAATAATCTGCAGCTGCTAGCCAAAAAGAGAGAAGAAAAGGAACCATCTGTAATACTTATGAAAATAATTTTCTTTAATTTTATAGCTTGAATACTCTTGAGAAGAGTGAAGGCCTTGTTGACTTGGGGCTTAAGTTTTTAGGATAATTTACGCATGGGGAGTTGAACCCAGGATGCTATTGTTAACTTCCAATTTTCTTAGCATTTATTTGTTGTAGTCTTGACACTCTTGGGTGGCAGGAAACAAGGAAGGTGTTAGAATTTAGCAACTGCAGATAAAGGATTTGACATTGAGTTGAAGGAAGAAGGATCATGCTTTATGCTTATCAGTAGGATCACGCTAGAGAAACTTGGACATTTCTCATGACTGGAGAGGGTGGACCGCGGTATCATTTTCAAAGAGCTATTGCAAGCATTGAAGGGCAGGTGTCTTTTTTCCCCAGATGTAGGGAAGCTGATAAGATGTTATAAAAGAGGAAAAAGTATTACTGGAACAGCATCTGTTGATTACAGAGGTCATCGAAACAAGATATTTGTCTGTTATTATCCTAAAAGATCCTGGAAACGAAGGACTATCACTTTGGTGCTATCACTATACTTGTTTATAGTTCCGGGACTAATGGCTGTAGAAGAAATGGAGGTTGAGGGGAGACAAAAGTTGTTGATTTCAATTGTCCTGATATGAAAAGGCAGTCATACAGAGCTTTGCAACAGTTGTCAGGACAGAGTTGGCCAGAGAAAAACCAGGGGAAATGGTTGAAGTGAGGCATGGCTGTTATTCGAGTGCAATCACAAGAATAATATGAATTGAAATTTAAAAACACTTCATTATAGCACTCAACCATCTGGCTGGTGATTAAACAAGGGAAAGAAAGATAATAGTTACCAAATAAAAACTCTTGGCAGAAGGCTGTATTAGTCTTTGAGAGACTTGGACTAAATTGGCTAGGCGAAAAGAGGAGTATTCTCAAAGGTTAACGCTTCAACCTTCTCAACAGAATGAAAACATTCTACAACCAAAGTTGATAAGGAAAGAAAGGCACAACATGACGCTACGTGACCATAAACCATTTTATCCATGATCTATTTCCAGAAACAAGTCTTAAGAAGATATAGGTTGTTGGGTGATCTACAGGGAGAACTGATTGTTATGGGGCTATTAGAGATACAAGTTTAAGCTGAATAATGAATTTATCCTATCTTATGAATGATGAGTACGTTCTTCCCTCAAAGAGAATGAAGATAATGGGGATAGTGAAGGGTTGCAATGGAGGGAAAAAAGGGTAACAAAGAAGTGGTCAAGCGTGGTCATGCATTGATCAATTATTGGTACATCATTCCATAGAGGATTTGTCCACATGGGTCCAAGTACAACAAAATGCAAAAGGAGGAAAGTTTTGTAATGATATATCTATTGCATTCCGTGTA